GTCATGATAGACATTGTACAACACACAGGGTCAGAGGTCATGATAGACATTGTACAACACACAGGGTCAGAGGTCATGATAGAGGTTGTACAACACATAGGGTCAGAGGTCATGTTGTACAACACACAGGGTCAGAGGTCATGATAGAGGTTGTACAACACATAGGGTCAGAGGTCATGATAGAGGTTGTACAACACACAGGGTCAGAGGTCATGATAGACATTGTACAACACACAGGGTCAGAGGTCATGATAGACATTGTACAACACACAGGGTCAGAGGTCATGATAGACATTGTACAACACACAGGGTCAGAGGTCATGATAGACATTGTACAACACACAGGGCTTGCTGCAGGGCCTAGAGAAAGCACTATGCTGACATGCCATTGAGACGGGTCATTTGTCTGTGTTGTTGTTATTGTTGCCATTAGTTATTATTATTGTTATTTAATAGTATTATTATTACCATTATTTTTTATCATTGTTGTTATTATTGTTATTTAATATTATTATTATTACCATTATTTTTTATTATTGTTATTTAATTTTATTATTATTACCATTATTTTTTATCATTGTTATTATTATTGTTATTTAATAGTATTATTATTACCATTATTTTTTATCATTGTTGTTATTATTTTTGTTATTTAATATTATTATTATTATTGTTACCATTATTTTTTATCATTATTGTTATTATTATTGTTTGTTATTTAATATTATTATTATTATTGTTACCATTATTATTAAATTATCGTTATTCAATATTATTATTATTGTTACCATTATTATTATTATTTAATATTAATATTATTATTTCCATCATTATTATTAATTATTATTATTATTATTATTATTATTATACTTATACGTGAAAACCCTGGTGATAAGACTGTTTGTCTGCTGTGAGTGTGTGTACATGTGTGTGTCTGTCTGTGTGTCCGTCTGTCTGTGTGTCCGTCTGTCTGTGTGTGTGACCTCATCTCCTCTCTCCCCACCAGGCACCTGGATGGCTTGATAGAATCGAACCCCCTGTCTCTGTGTGTGTGTGTGTCTGTCTGTGTGTCCGTCTGTGTGTGTGTGTGTCTGTCTGTGTGTCTGTCTGTCTGTCTGTGTGTGTGACCTCGTCTCCTCTCTCCCCACCAGGCACCTGGATGGCTTGATAGAATCGAACCCCCTGTCTCTGCCGCCCAGGAAGGGCTCCGGGCCCTCTCGCAAGGGTAGCACCTCGTCCACCAGCGGCGCCACCGCCGACCGTAGGGGGCGCTTCGTGTCGGAGGAGGCCAGGGGGCGCTACGTGTCGGAGGAGGAAGCTCACAACACATCGCCCGTGTTGCTGATCCGCTCGCGCACCAACGCACGCCATGTCAGGACTAGTCTAGAGCGCTCGCGGCAAGCCAGCGACGATTTGTTTGAGTTGTGATGGATTTTATATATATATAATAATATATCTCTCTATATGAACATGTAGATATATATGAATATATGATGGTGTGGGCGTGTACACGATATACCAGCGACCATCTTTTTGTGATAGACCTTTAGGTCACAGAACCTGTGAACATGTGTGGGGGTGTCTGTGGGGGTGTGTGTGGATGTGAGAATGTATAAATAATGTATCGTGACGCCATGGGGTCGGGCGCTGGTCACTTTGGGGGCACTGGTGGTTGTTGGTGTCCTCTCTAACCTGGTCCGTTTGTCTGGGTTTGGTGGGTGGTTGGCGGGTGCTCTGGTGTGCTTTGTCTGGGTTTGGTGGGTGGTTGGCGGGTGCTCTGGTGTGCTTTGTCTTGATTTGGTGGGTAAATATCCATCCATCTTGGACAGAAGGACAGATTCTTGCGATAGGCGGAGGTGGGAGTCGCCTGGTGTCTGAGGTACAGAAGCAAAATGGCGGTCACAGTTTGGTCACACCCAAAGCTGGAGAGTCCTTGGAAACTGCCAGTACAGTAGAACAGTACCATAGAACAGTGACATAGAACAGTAGGCTACCATAGAACAGTGACATAGAACAGTGACATAGAACAGTAGGCTACCATAGAACAGTGACATAGAACAGTAGGCTACCATAGAACAGTGACATAGAACAGTAGGCTACCATAGAACAGTAGGCTACCATAGAACAGTGACATGACATAGAACAGTGACATGACATAGAACAGTGACATGACATAGAACAGTGACATGACATAGAACAGTGACATAGAACAGTGACATAGAACAGTGACATAGAACAGTGACATGACATAGAACAGTGACATGACATAGAACAGTGACATGACATAGAACAGTGACATGACATAGAACAATGACATGACATAGAACAGTGACATAGGACAGTGACATGACATAGAACAGTGACATGACATAGAACAGTGACATAGGACAGTGACATAGGACAGTGACATAGAACAGTGACATAGGACAGTGACATAGAACAGTGACATAGGACAGTGACATAGGACAGTGACATGACATAGGACAGTGACATAGAACAGTGACATAGGACAGTGACATAGGACAGTGACATAGGACAGTGACATAGGACAGTGACATAGAACAGTGACATGACATAGAACAGTGACATAGGACAGTGACATGACATAGAACAGTGACATAGGACAGTGACATAGGACAGTGACATAGGACAGTGACATAGAACAGTAACATGACATAGAACAGTGACATAGGACAGTGACATAGAACAGTGACATGACATAGAACAGTGACATAGGACAGTGACATAGAACAGTAACACGGACAGTTCAAATTCGTCGGGACCGGCCTCGATAGTTCAAGGGATATCTCACAAAGATAGAGAAGATGGAAAAAAAACTGGACCGCAGACACAATTCGACAGATTTGTGATTTCGAGTCTTCTGTTTCAACCTATCCGTGTTGTACTGTATTTATTTTTTTTCTGGCTTTGATCGATGTGTTTCAGAAAAATACACACGGAAATGTTTTTATAAATGGACATGCATAGATAGATGTGTTCCGCCAAACGTACTCCATTTCAGTGAAAATTGCCCACACATGATGAGTACAGAGTGCCTGATTTCACTCTCCCTGCTGCTTTGTACAAACACAATTCTGAAATTATGCGATTCTGTTAATTTTACCAAAGAATGATAAAGGAAAATAATCAGAAATTATGCAAAAAATGATCAATTTTTGCTAAATTATGCGGGGTGCTTAAACCACGGACACAGATTTCACCTTGACGCAATGTGTGTGCGTGCGTGTGTGTTCATGTATGTGTGTGTGTGCGTGTGTCTTCATGTATGTGTGTGCGTGTGTCTTCATGTCTGTGTGTGTGTGCGTGTTCATGTATGTGTGTGTTCATGTATGTGTGTGTGTGCGTGTGTGTTCATGTATGTGTGTGTGTGCGTGTTCATGTATGTGTGTGCGTGTGTGTTCAGTTAATATGTGTGCGGGTGCATACAGAGACCTTTGTGTGTGTGTGTAACATGTATTATGAGTATGCGTGTGTGTGTGTGTACAACATATAGACGTGTTGTGGCAGTGAGTGAGTTGAGGCGTGTGCCGTACATGTGTTGGTACCAGCTTCGCGGGCGCCTCACAACTCAGGAGATGGGAGGCCTGGTTCTGTATGGTGCTCTAGGGGAGCACACACACACACACACACACACACACACACACACACACACACTCGCACACACTCGCACACACACATGTGCACACACAGACAGACACACGCACACTCACTCACACACATAAACACAGATGCACAGACAGATAGACACTCACTCACACACACACACACACACACACACACACACACACTTAAATACAGACGCACAGACAGACAGACACACACTCACACCTCATGAACATT